GAGTCGCTTGCCTCTTCCTCTCACCCCAAACCAGTACTACGCACCAGGTAAGTTGAGAGAGCTTGTGCTCGCTGCGCTACCCGCGCTGCTCAACAGAAACAGGTTCTGATACATTCCTGGCATCGTCTTGCGGAGGCACTGGCGCTCGACTCGCGGCGGGCGCCTCGTCAGATTGGAGGTGCTGAGCCTACTGTGCAGGTATTCTGCTCTTGGCCGCTTTGTGTGTACCACCATCAAAAGCCTCCGGCGGCCCTGAAATCTTGCGCAGGATGCGGAGAAGCGCGCTACTGTAGGAAACAATGTCAATCTAGGCAAGGCAAGTCTGATGCCCACAGTTGCCGCGATACTGACGATGACTATCCAGCGACTGGAAGCTCAACGATCACAAGGCACGGTGCCGTCGTGTAAAGAAGTGAGGTTTACTGGTCGGGCGGTGAATATTAGATTGTACGAATGGTACTGTACATGAATGCAGTCTTGCCTTCAAGGTCTAAGAGTGGTGTGACTTGCAGTAGTCACTGTATCGTATACCCCTAACCACACCCTTCTGAATCAGTGTGTACAGTACGAGGAACTCGGGCTCGAATGCGTTCCCCGAGCGTTGCGTTGTGGGTATAGCGATGGCGTGAATATCATCACAGTGTGAGGTGCAGGTTCACGTTCAATAGCGGAAGGACACCCAATGCCATTCGGTATATAGTGCACAAGTACGTGGTTTATGAGGCCTCTTTACACCGATCGGCTGTGTGTGTATGAGATAGCGAGTGGCATTCGACTGTGCTCTCTGTAGATGGCTCAAGATGTAAGGGAACGATAACATATTGGTAACAAGTCTAAGCGATGGAAGTGTGAACTAATGAGTGCGCGGCTGGAATGTGAGTTTGCAGCGCATAGCTGCAGGGAATACCACAAAAGCGTCGCGAGGCTCCATCGTGCGGTCATTGGTCTCCGCCAGAGGTGCAGAAATGTCGAAGTTGCGCACAAAGGTGGCGACCGCGATACGGGCGGTCTGCATGGCGAAGTGTTGACCAACGCAGGTCCGAATGCCCCATCCGAACGGCATCAGGGAACGAAGGCAGTCACTTAGCCCTTGGAGGTACAGTTGCATAGCCTATCCCTTGCAGGTCTGCGTCTCCTTCGTTCTCGATCCAGCTGCTGCAAAAAATGAGCCATGGAGGTCGAAACCAAACTGCACGAACGGAGCGACACACGCCTAGCGCGCCGGACCGGCCCGAGCGTCCCGCAAGCTGCATGGATGACGGTTTGGTGCTTGACGCAAGCCCTCATGCGCGCGACCTTCTATTCAGCTTGCGAGCGGCTACTCTGGCAAATAAATCATGTTCATGCTGTGAGGCCTGCTCAAAGACTCTACGATTATCGGACGGTGGACGCATGGCGTGAGTAAGGCGCGACCAAATGCCATGGGGTTGCATCTGGCTCTGAACACCGGAGGACATGGCTTCAGGTGGCGGTCATGACTGGGCGATAGGCAACGGGCGCGACGTTCAGATCCGGTTGTGCGAGAACCCCTGCTTGTGCGTGTGCGTACTGCTCATCCTCGTTCATGACATCTTGCTCAGTGATTTCAGGCATTGTCAATACATACGTGCTACACACGTGTACCCATCTCAACGCCTTTACACCGCCGTAAAATGGCATACTACGCGCAACTCCAGACTTCATCATGTCGATTGATCTTCCCCCAGACCGTCAGCCACGGGTGTCTTCGCCTGATAGAAGGCCATGCTCCATTCCTGATGCACTGCTGCTATGACGAGAAAGGTCTTTTATGCCCCCCCGTAAATCTCTCAAGACGTCTGAGAGCTCTTCACCGCATTGCGAACTGTGATGCATGTGTTCCTCGCGCGCGCGCGCTAAGAGACGGTGTTCAGCGCCCCGAACAAACGACCCCAAACGACCCAACAAAGGTCGTCCCGATCATCGATGATTGTGAACGCAGATGGTGTGGCATCTCTATTGACTGAATTCGTCATCTGCGTGTTATCTACGTTTCAAGAACCCTGCTTTCTACTTGGCCCGGTCGCGTCTTGTTTGAGAGAGGTATATATCACCTTGCATTCATTGGGCAGGCAGTTATTGATTGTCGTCTCAGTGCCACAGCCAGCCATGCAGGACAACGAGCGCCTTTGTCTCCTTTGCCCACACCTGAACCACGTCTTCGGGGGCCACACCTGCTCGTATATAAGAGTGATGCCCTCTTGAGCCTTAGCGTCAGTCAATACCTTCCGCGAGCGTTTGATATTACCAATCACACTCAGACGTCTAGGCTCATGCAGGAACCCGTCCGTCAGGAATCACTCAGTACGCAAGGGCTTCGCGAACACAACTTCATCGCGACACAATACTCTGCATTAGATGGCGAACACGGTATCAACACCATCCTCCCCGATCTACATTGGCTTCGTGGCTACGCCGGTACCACAGCTTGGGCTGGCACGGTGGCAAATGCTATTCTCCGGCGTACACCCAAGCAAGTTCTTTCAGCTATGCCTCGGCACATGTTCACATATCTGCCGCGTTGTGCACGGGAAAGATTGGACTTGAGAGAGAGCAAATCGGCAAGGTGAGCGGCCAGAGCCGGCGCGATGGATATATGCAGTGTACTTATAATGCATGACTCGTCTAGGCCAGAACGTGGTGGGCGTCCTTGCATGGACGCGTTTCTGCGCCGAGGAACAGGAAACTCTCCCCTGGCATTAAACGAAGAAGATTTTGTGGCCCGCCGACAGCGTCGACAGCGGAGAGAGGCCTCGTTGCATCGCCTAGCCAAGTGGAAGAATGACGTCGATCTCAGGTCTACCCAACGTGAGCCTCTATAGCCCCCAAACGTTTCATTACTGATCCAGTTTGTAGTTAGCCGTGTGGTTCAAGATTTGCAGGCGGCGTCGACTCGAAGCTTGCGGGCATCCCAAAGGCGATTCTACTCCCAGTCCCTACAAAACGTCGTGCGAGATATCCAGGAGCTGTTGGCGTCTATGAGAGCGTGTACGTGGTATTGTCTGCGTCGAGTCCTCACGTTAACGTGTGCATCAGTACTGTGGGCATTCTTTGACTATCAGGATAGCCAGTGCCTCGACCACGCTTCCGACGAAGTCCTGGAAGTCATGCAAACGATAGCTGAGGTTATCATGGAGGCAGACTTTGACGATACGCTCACTTTGCAAGAGGGGAAGTACTCGGAACAGACTAATGCTCGCGCTGTACTGGAGCTCGTGGAAGACCTAGACCTCACCCGCGATCAGATAGACCAGATCTGGGAAGAACGTGAGTCAAGAGTTTCAGTGAGATGCTAGATACGTCGAGTTACTGATTAGATGTAGTCAAGCTCTAGACTTCTCGCTGCGAAGTTTGTAGTACCAATACGACGCTTTTCTCTGGCGTATTGCGCACGTCACCGGCGTGTGGGTCTGGGCAAATCGTGCATAACGTTTTTGCTGTACCCTATAGCCTATCCCATGTTTGAGCTGCGTTGTGTATATATTTGTCATCGGGAGCTACAATACAAATGATGTGCTTCTTGTCGAGTGTCTGGTATATCGTGAGACGTAGGAGAGCGCAAGTCGAGCGCGACGGCAGCAGGTCGTGGCGCGGTCTACATAGCCGGGAATCGGGCCGGACCTGAAATGCGAAAGCCTCCAGCGCGCGCGGCGCGCGCCACCTGGTTGTGAACCACCACCACCTTACTGTGCCAATCTATGCGGCATCTTATATTCTACACACACCAAGACGCTATCTACTCATGTTATTCAATGTCCCAGTCTGCCCTGAGAAGATGTTTGAACCAGACGTGCGCCTCCGCAAGATACACCACATACGCCGTTTGACTGGCCACTCGCCCACTCGTGGCACAGAATCGTCAACTATGCCTGTGTGAATAGCTCAGCGCTCGCTTACTACTGCATACACTGTGGCAGTGTTGTCTCTGTGCCAAGGAATGCAGCCAGGTGAAGGTTTAAAAGCCGAGGCGGCGAAACCCCATTCGATGCGGCTGGCTGCGGCGACGCTCCGCTGACCTCTAGCACCCGAACAGTCTTCCAGAGTAATGACAGCGATGGTGGGCCAAGGTGGCTACTCCAAAGTTGGATGGGTCCGAGGTTTTTCGTCGCCGCGCTGGCAGTTTGTCGTCGCGCAGTGTTGGTATGTGATGAGCGCATGCGAGGATCCCTAGTTGAAGACTCAATGCCGGCGTTCACCGTGAGTAGCCCTCTGCTGGTGTAGAAGTTGCTCTATCTGGATTTGGCGTGCAGGTACTACGTCTACGCGATCTTAGAGCCTATATTCATTGTCTGACAAGCTTGCAGTTACGATGCAATACCCTCGGCGCCCAGCGTAGCACTTCCCGCTCATCATAGTCCAGTCTCTATTCGACAAGCCCGCGCTGGTGAGTGAGGGCCAGTGCCTCTTGTCAAAAACGCTCGTGGGGCACGAGCACGTTCAGATGACGGCCAGATGACCAGATAGCTTAGCGGGACGACTTGCCTTCGGGGTCGGGCGGTGAACTCGCGGCGTGCTGGATAATTGTCGCGTGTTCTACTCCACAGGCGTAAGTCAAATGTGCCCTCGATGTCGTGCTAGCTTGCCTGATCATCCATCACAGGGCCAACCGAGGGACTTTAAGACGCGAAGCCGTTATCCAACTTTTCTACGCCCCATCATCCTCTCCCCCCCCCCCCC